GCGCATTTGAAAAGTTTTAAACTTGCGCATTCAAAAGGTTTTAAAGATATGTTTCCCAGTATAGCTCAGTGCCGTTCCGAGTGGATGTTCGCGACATCAGCCTCTTCAAGTTCACTGCAACGATCTGTTGCATCACCACGTTGTGTGTGGGCTATGCATTGCGTTGTAGACATGGGCACATTGAAAATGCGTTGCGTCAACTTCCTATGTGTTAGGAACGTTTAAAGAGGAACGTTTCACCGTTGAATATATCGAAGCAAGTATCAGACACGATTAAACAAGCTCACTTATAACCATCGGCATACTTTAAACTAGAAAAGACTGCTATAGACTACGCAATTTGTCTGTTCAGTAAATATGTTCCTCGAGACGTCATCGTTTGATTACGGCATCGCATCTTGCGCAACATTGAGAGCCAATTCACGGCCGTTATATTTGAAAATCGCGCTCGCGAAAGCCAAAGATAAACGACTGACCATTACTTTTTATTGGCCGTGATCACCGCATAGCTTATGGAATGGGAAGATTTTAATCATGTTACTTTGACATCATGAATGCCATGATGACCTTACAATACTCTCCCCGAAATAGTCTGCCGATCTTCGCGGACGTATAGCTCAGAAGGCTGCAGGGCGGGGCTGTGAATTGCGCCGAATGACCACTTCAAAGTGGCCATTTCAGTTCAAAACTCCATAGAAATATGGAACACCCTTTAAGTGGATGGGGCTACCAAAAAAAAAAGAAAAACTAGGCAATTTTATTTGCCCTAGAATGAACAGAAATACCGATTCACCGCAACTGAAGTGTTAGTAAACGCTGTCGGCTTAAGTCCCAGCTTAAATCCCTCTGAGCAGTGTACGGTGAATGATGTTATGAACTCCTGAGCAGTATAAAGTGATAGGTGTTGTGGAGTCCCTCTGAGCAGTGTACGGTGACGTATTGTGAAGCCGTTCTGAGCAGTGCACGGTAACTGGTTGTGAAGTCACTGAGCAGTGTACGGTGGCTGGTGTCATACCGTCCCTTTGAGCAATGGACGGTGACTGGTGTTATGCAGTCCTGAGCCGCCGCTGGCTCTGCTCGGCGCTCTGTGCGGCGTGCGTACGCGGACGCTGATGGCCGGCGCCCGTGCAGTTTCAGAGTCACCAGATATTCCACGTTCTGGTGGTGGCGGGTGCCATGGTCCACTACCACGGCGTCTCCGAGATGGCCATGCATCGGCTGACCAACGGCGAGTGCTCCTCCGAGCAGCACCTGGTGCTCTGATCGCGCCCGCTAGCCGACACGCGGCCGACCCCGGCACCGGCACCGGCACCGGCATTAAACCCGCCGAGTGAGCGCCGCGTAGAGCGGAGAGGACCCGCGTCCCAGGGTCCGGGCAGACCCGGCGGGCCCGCCGGCCTCACGTCTAACACTGTGCGAATGTGAGCGATGTATGCGGCCGGAGGATGTACCGTGGCTCGGCTGCTGCGCTTTGATAGCCGCGATGACTAAGCTTGCGCAGCTCGATGCCAGTCCGCGCCAGGAGCTGGCGACGCCCAGGCCGGTATCCCGCACTGCGAGAGCCCCGATTCCACTGGCAGCGGCCCGTGCTGGTGGCACGCCGGGCACCGTGGCTGGCGCCCGCCCCCCCCCCCGTCGATGTCGGCCTCTTGACATGTCAGCTGGCCGTCTTAGTGAAGACGTTTGAGAGTGCGATCAACGTTACAACCATTGTATTTTGATTGTTTTCCGTTTGGGTGAGATCAGGAGGCGTGTGATAATAAACGATAAACACAACATACGGATTGACACAAATCAACTAAAGCCACATCACTCCGTGATGCCTTGGGTACGTACCTTGGTACGCAACCTAGCACCATTAAAACAGCCGTGTGCGTGTGTGTTACAAGTGGCTCGAATGGGCTAACGACGACAATGACTTACGCCACAAGACTACTCGCTGTGCTACACACAACTAAGGTATTTTCTACACAACGCTCTTCGAGGTTGCACGTACGACGCCCATGGGACGGCAAAGCCGAGATCGGGGTGGCTTACTAATCACCCGGACATCCAAGCTACGACTGCCAGCACCGCCGACTCCGGTGCGACTGTGAAGCGTTGAGTTCCTCTTCCGCGGGGCGTGCGCGCTACCAAGGGGCCGGCCGTACCACGCTGCCGCAATTACAGAGATGCTTGGCTGACCTAGATGAATAAGGGGATGGAACAATTATTAGCACCACCATGGCGCTTACAACCGGGATTGACACACGACCACTCAACAGCTAAGCGCAGATCGCCACGGCAGCAAACATGACAAATGCTCACGTTCCATCGTACGGCCGGCACGTCGGTCCGCTTGCCCTCGCTGAGCCGCTCAGAGCGCGTACGTTGGACCAGGACGCGGCGGTCGGCACGGAGAGATCCTCCACGCCCACGCCTGCCGTCGAAGCGAGCATCGACCGTATTGACCTATCTGAACCTCCGACAGCAGAGGCTCCGGCACTAGGCGAAGGGTGATGGAGCGCAGTCGGGGGACGGACGGGGGGGGGGGGGGGGGCATTTTCCTTCCTTTCTTAACGTCGATTTCCGGGCACCATATTTTGACGCGTCCTAGCATGCTGCTTTCATATGACACATTTCCGTTGCCCAAACTAGATCATTTCGAGACCACTAAAAGGCTTTGAGCCTTGGCCATTGCTTTATTTGCATGCTTAATTTATTTGCATTACTACAACTAAAACGCTGCCAAGTCATTATTGAAACAACTTAATCATGTTCGCTGATGCTCTATTAATGCGAAAACAAAATATGGCGCCCCCTAGATGACCCTTTTACGTTTAGCAGAACTTGTGCCCGCCCGTCAGCTGCTAACCCTGATCGCATAAAAAGGCGCCAGCATCAGTGATATATGCAAGCGGTTTTCACCGCGTAAGACACACGAGGGTCATGACGATGATTTTTGTGACCACTGCCTAATTTCCTAACACGGTGGCGTGACCATTTTCCCCAGCGTTGTGTTCTTAAGCACCATTCGTGTCCCTAAAACTAGCGAACTCATTACTCCGATCTCATTAGCAGCAACCTTAATGGGTCATGTCTTGATCGTCAGTTTGCGTTTGGCAGCTCTACTAATAATTCGTGGATGTACCGTCATCGTAATGACATCTGTAAATGATTAAGACCGGACTGATGAACATCACGCGTGATTTTCTGAAATCATACACTATTTACTGTCCACGCAGATATTACTATAAACACAACACTGAAACACTCCGGATGAGTCAATACTGGCCAATGACAGACCAACTATCTATGACTCATCGCCAAAACCCATTTAGCGAAGGTGACAATCATAGTCAATTTCGGCTATTTTTTGCCACCTAAGCTTCACCTCTCACCCTCATCCCACTTCTTCAGAGATCACGACTGGCCAACCAAATCTCTCCTAACCAAGCCCTACAGTTTCCGCCGCGGCTGATTGGATAAATGGTCCGTGTAGTGAACTTTTGAACTTATGGTAAAAAGGGCTTTTTAATTTTAGACAATAACTAGATCTATGGTATCAGAAAGCAGAAACTTGATGCCTCCCGCCAACATTCCTAACTTCAGAAGCCCCGTCGTTGTTACAAACAAATTCGCCGGCCGTTACAGCCGTCCGTCGCACAAAATTTCTAACACAACGAACACTTGCGTAGCATGAACACGGACTACTTAATCCGCATCCATCTTGATAGTAAGCAAACAATATCCGAACTAGCCGTTCTCACGTGGTCGCACTCCATTGCCCGACAACCAGCAGGCCTGTCATCCCACAACCTGTCGCGAGTCATCGCACTCACAGGATCATTGCCTCGTTTCAGAATGTTCAAAAACACCAATTTTCAGTTGAATGCTACCCAAGAGCCGCCGAAAACCCGGCTTCCTGGGTGTGAGCACACATACATGGGCTCTCACAGATCAACAATCCAAAAGGTACGTCATCGCGCATGCCAACAAATGAGCTGAACAGAGCGATCGTTAGTACGGCAGTTTTTCTGTGATCTTATTCAGCTTCCACCGTTATCGCCAGGTTTACTGCCCCCCTCCTGCTGTGTTGTCTAACTGCACAGTTTCACAGTCATGGTCAAGCTTTGACTCTTCATGTCTATGATATTTCATGTGCCCATGGCTTAATCATGTCTTATCTATGGCCGTGGCTTAATCTATCAATGGCATAGCAAATATTTCTGGTCGCACAATAAACTAAACTAACTAAAATACGACTGTCCGCCCTAGATCACCTCAAGATATCACTCTGACACCGTTGCTATGATACGAACTAGCAACAGTATAACACATGCCAAACGCAAACAGTTCCCTAATGGATGTACAACGTTATCACTTTTATATCACTATCACACACACACACACACACACACACACACACACACACACACACACACACACACACACACACACACACACACACACACACACACACACACACACACACACACACACACATATATATATATATATATATATATATATATATATATATATATATATATATATATATATTCACTATCACACATATATATATATAGGGTGCCGATGGCGCAGTGGTTGAAGCATCTCGCCCTTCTGCCAGGGTGGCAGGCAGGCGGCGCCATATAGCCTGAGCAGCTTAGTGCGTCGTAAAGCCCTTATGACGACGGCGACATGAAAATATACCTAGAAAACTGAAGAAATCTCGTTGACAGACGAACCAAGGGGTCTTTAATTGCACGGAGGGAACATGCATTGTACTTGTCTACAACGATGCGAGGGCTTTCGACGGAAGTTAAATTTCTCGGCATGGCAAATACAATACAATTGAACTAACGATTTCAGGATGCGTCGGATGGTACCCGGAAAGCGCTGTTCCGAAAAATAAGAATGGAAAAATGTGCCTACGTGGGAAAGTTGAGGAAGAAGATGGAAAGGGAAGCCTCGTGATAACCAGAGAACCGCCGCACGAGCTGCGCCGGCGGCGGCGCCTAGCGGTAGTAATGGGCGGCGGGCGGCGGCCGGCCGAGCGGCGGCGGCGTGACCCACTGCTGCGGCGACGGGTACTGTGCCGGCCGCACGCCCGGTGGCGGGAAGGCGCGCCCGTAGCCGGCTGGCGACGCCGGCGGCGGCGTCTGGTAGAACGGCGCGGTGGCAGAGGACGGTGGCTGGCCGTAGCTGGCCGGCGAGTACCCCGCCTGGTAGCCGACGTACGCCGGGTGCTGCTGCTGCTGCTGGAGCGGCGGCGGCGTCTCCTGCATCGCCTCCTGGCCCTGGATCGGGATGGTGATCAGGTTGCTGCTGCGCTGCGTAGTCATCACGGGAATCTGCTGCTGCTTCATGGACGGCAGCGTCGTCTTGGCCGATCCATATTCCAGCGGGTGCGAGCCTCCACGGACGGGGTGCGGACTGCCGTGGCCGGGGTGTGTGGGGTGGGTGCTGCCCGGTCCCGGGTGCGCGACACCGTGACCCGGGTGTGCGGTATGAGCGCCCCCACGAGCCGCGTGCGTGGGGTGAGGGCTTCTGTGGCCCGGGTGGGAGGGGTGCGCACTTCCATGGTTGGAGTGTGCAGGGTGTGAGCTAGTGTGGCCTGGATGTGTGGGATGCGAGCTTCTATGGCCAGGGTGTGAGGGGTGCGGGCTGCTGTGACCTATATGTGACGGGTGTGGGCTGCTTTGACTTAGATTTGACGGGTGGGGGCTGCTTTGACTTAGATTTGACGGGTGCGGGCTGCTTTGACTTAGATGTGACGGGTGGGGGCTGCTGTGGCCTGGGTGTGAGGGGTGAGGGCTGCTGTGACCCGGGTGTGAGGGGTGAGGGCTGCTGTGACCCGGGTGTGAGGGGTGAGGGCTGCTGTGACCCGCGTGTGAGGGATGAGGGCTGCTGTGACCCGGGTGTGAGGGGTGAGGGCTGATGTGACCCGCGTGTGAGGGATGAGGGCTGCTGTGGCCCGGGTTTGACGGATGAGGGCTGTCGTGACCCGGGTGTGGGGGATGCGACTGTCCCTGCGCCACGTACGCCGCCGGCGCGCGTGACTCGTGGCGTCGCGGGTCGCGCGGGTCCGGCGGCGGCCGCTCCTCCTGGGGGCGCCGCGCCGGCTCGGCGGCGGCCGGCGGCGGCGGCACGGCCGGCCGACGGTGCCGGTGGTTGATGTGCGCCTGCAGCGGTGACGGGCGTCAGCACGTCCCACCAGCACGGCGCCAGCTGCGGCCAACGCTATGCATATCCAGCCACCGAACCCCACGTTATCATGCAGGTTATGTTATATTATCAAGTCCAGCACACGCAAGAAGGGAAGCTGGTTATGGTGCCTCTCCCGACTCAGTGCGTCAACACGTGATGCGTGGGGACGGGAACCGCGTGACCGAATTTGCTGAAGCTAGGGAAATCCTGCATACCGGAATCGATCAACGTGATAACACAACGCCCATATCTAGGTCGTTGGTGACATGAAAATTGCATTGCAATCAGCCGCCTTCCCATCACAAATAGGAAAATGAAATTGGGAAATTTCGAAGTATTTCATATTGGCGGCAACAGCCTGTGCGCTCATTGACTTAACCTACATCAGTCCATCTCTAAAATAATTTCAAAACTACGTGAGCCTGCCACCTGTGGCTGCCCAGACGTTGGCTGCCAGCTCGCGCACCGCCGGTGCCGGGCCACTAGCGCTGAGAATCTGATGCCTGTTGGGTCAGCTCAGCCACGCTTGGACGATGCGGTGGCGCGACTATTGCGGATCAGAGAAAGGAGGGTTGGCTGGGACAGCTGGTTCAGCTCACTGTAGATGTTGACATAGCATTCCTTTTTGGGCCATTCTATTTTCGGCCGCAGTTTTCAGCAAAATAATCACGGTCACTGTGATTCCGCCGCCCTGATGTACGTGGTCTAGCGACTACTCATTAAAGCGAGAAAACCCGCATGTGTAAAAACTCCTAACCCTTTGAATTTTGATCAAGTCCTTGACAACTGATCTCACACAGAAATCGTAGGTTATGTCAGCTCTAACCAATCAATGATATGTACCTTGGAAGGAGCTTCACAAATCAGTTCAAGCTGACTTCAATACTTCGCGTTCACAGCAGACAAGAGCAACCAAGTTTACCTTCTCATTTCCTTACTTACACCATGCACTGAGCGAGTTGATCCCAAAATAAATCCCAACGGCTGCCGGCCGCTGAAGTGCTGGTCCACGCGCGCCACCTGCGGCTGGGCCCTGACCTGCAGGTCGCGCTGGCTGAGGTAGGTGCGCCGGCAGCCGTTGTTGTCGTAGCGCTTGCCGTCGTGCAGGCACATGTAGAGCTTGCCCAGGCCGGCGCGCTCCACGCGCACCGCCCGGTCGCCGCACCGCCAGCACTTGTCCTGCACCTTGGCGCAGTCGTAGCATAGCACGTGCTTGCACGGAATCTGTCGGCACAAACCGAGCGCGCACACGCCTGAGCACTCTAGCCAGAGACGGCATACAGGATACAGACATGATCACCAGAGGGTGACCCGTAATTGCAGGAGGCGGGTTTAATCGCCTGTATTGCGAGGGAGACACGAACACTTCCTCAAGCAGGAGCAGTAACCACGCTCGCTGAGATATGATTCACCCAGAGAAGTGGAAAAGGCCACGTTTGCGGACATCTCACCATTCTGCCGTACGCCAGTATTGGGCAGTCACATTTCTCACAGAGATATATCAAAGGATTGAGCACCTTTGCTGCGATCAAGTTCACCTGCAAAAAGAAATTACAAGCATGAATATCGTCCACATTTTGCGAAGGCACGGCACGGCGATCATGCCATTCCATTTGGTGATGGGCATCACCCTGGTCACTTCCAGGATTGGGCTTCCATTGACATTACACTGGCTATATCTAGCTGACCAGACTACAAGCGTGACCAGGCAAAGCACAACAAACAGTTTGTAGATAATAAGCAAGTGACTGTATCGACTGTATTATGACTGACTGGTGTTTCGAGTTCAAGAGGTCTTATGCGGAGTTATCGACCTGTCGACAAAAAGGCATACGCGCCGATCACCATTCCAGAGCACTTACGCCCATGTTGGACATTACGGACCCCTGCGCCCGAGAAACAGCGTCCCATTACGGCCTAGTTCGCGCTCGTATGACACCCGTTACTCGGTCGTGCTGTCGTGAAATAGGTTGACTAGCGGACGTGCTAGCGCGCACTGCGACCTCCAGTCCGATCTGACCGGCCAGGACAGCCGGTCAGCGGCGGCCGACGGCCGGCCCGGCCCCGCTCCCGCTCCTGCCGGCGCTCCGGTCTCCGCAGACCCGCCGCCGGCCGGCCCGGCGCCGCTCCCGCTCCTGCCGGCGCTCCGGTCTCCGCAGACCGGCGCCGGCTGACCCGCCGCCGGCCGCACCTTGTGGTGCCACGAGAGGCGCAGCATGGGCTCTGGCTGGCCGCGCTGGATCGTGGTGAAGGTGGCCGGCTCCAGCTGCGAGATATCCGCCTCCATGTCGAACACGTGCGGCCGGGGCGGTCCCGGTCGGTCGGGAGACGGCGGACCATCGGACGCGGTCGGCTCACACAGTGACTCGTCGTCGCTGTCGATCACCTGTCACGCAGCCGGACGGCACAGGAAAAAGAGCTCAGCACAGGGTATAATACACTTTGGATACACCTTATGTACACTTTGTACTAAACTTCAGCTCAGCACAGGGCATGATACACCTTGGATACACTTTATGTGCACTCTATGTGCCCCACTTCAGCTCAGCACAGAGCATGATACACCTTAGATACACCTTCTGTGCACTCTATGTACCAAACTTCCGCTCAGCACGGGGCGCGATACACCTTAGATACACCTTAGGTGCATTCTATGTACCAAACTCCAACTTGCTAGGAAGAAACAGATAAACCAAGACAAACAAGTTGTCTGCCCAGAAATCAATAAGGTATGCTTAAAGGTATACCAAAAAGGCATGCTTATGGCTACAATATGCCCTCACATCTGACACAGTGGTACCATGTCACAGTGGGCAGTTACCTTAGACCGACGTATCCGAGTTCTGGCCCTGCCTCGCGGCTTCATGGTGGCCAGATCCCGACCACCTCGGCTAGATGGGCGCATGGAATAGCTTCTGACATCATCCATCCTCTGGCTGGCAGGGTGCAGCTTCCAGATTCTGTGTCACAGCACAGGCATGCCATTTTAATGACATATCATTTGTTGTGTGTTAGAGTATGACAAAAAGCTAGTGGCCTTCAAACTTACATGCAAATTGATACACCACATTGGTGCTTTTAATTTGTCCAGTTTGTCAGTGCTGTTTCTGACAAGGAAATTGAGGGTTTTTTCTGTTGTGATGGTGAACAGCAATGCCTATTCTATGGCCATCCTTGCCTTTTAAGTGTTAAGGGATGATTGCAAGGAATGTCATCCATTCCCATAGAGAAGCCCTGGGAATGATTGCTGATGAACCCAGGCCCTACAAGCAGGTAGCAGCAGCTATCTCCAAGGCTGGCATGTACTGGTCATCATCCAATGTTGTTTTGAACACAATGACCATTAAATGCTGTCTCCGGTCTAAAAGACCATGGTAGGACTGTTGGAGCATGAAAATGTGACATGGGACATCTTTAAAGGTAAGGACAAAAAGGTGATGATTGAAATGGTACAGTATCAGGCTGCCAGGACCATGCAGGGAGTTCATCAACTCCAGTGTGAACCTAGCTTCAAATATTTAAGCAACCCTCATTCTGTATGCAGTACAACAGACTGGGGAAAAACTGTCACCTTCATGCATATCCTGCATCTCCTTACATGACCTCACCAGCTTGGTGACACATAAATTTTCTCAAATATCCATGTGCTTACAGATAGTGTAAAGGCCATCATCCATGGGCTGTTAACATTCTAGCCAACTGAAGAGTTGAAGGCATAGCACAACTACCTCAGAGCCATAGCAATCATCCAATGGGATAAGCAGAGTGGGCAGCCTGCTTGCATACGGGTGACATATGACAGCTGGTACGCAATTCGCCTATCAGCACTTATTATTGCAAAACCTGCAATAACAAAGTATTAAATGGTGGGTGACACAAATGACCATGGAAAGGAAGATAAATTATTGGCCTAACCACCTTAGCTGGTGGCATGAATACTGAGCCATAACCCATCCAGGGAAGGAGGCTGGACTAGTGCCATGCATTTCTGAGGCATGTGTCAGGGTGTCACACTGTCAACTTTTGCAAATGACTGTGCACCTGTCACTCTGACATATTCCAAAGTTACATTGTCAGGACCAGTTTAATCTCAGGGAGTAAATTGGTTATGCTTTAATTTTTCACTGACTGCTGGCTTTTACGATATGGACAATAGCCACGCATCTGTACCCCACAACTCACATTCAGCCCCCACTGATCAAGCCATCGTCCACCACGCATTGATGTTTCTCTCCGAAATGCTAGTTGATCAAAATGATAATTGCAACAGATGGAACAATGACTTTGAAAATACCATGTAACTGAGAATTGTTACAAATAAAAGCACTTCGACGGGCACCTGTTGAAATTTTTTATGTTTGGGGTACAATGATTGACTGAAAATTTACAAATACCCCAAACTGCGGCGTGCTTCTAAGCTAGAAACACGTCTGTACCGTAGTACGCCAAGAAAGGTAAAGCTACTCTCAAATTCCACACTAGATGGCAGCACAGTCTTTTTTTGTAAACGGCATTACCTAGATCAACCGCGGTCAATAATGGACCGTCTACATATTAAAACGGGCCTCTGCAGGTTAAGGCCCTTCTGCAGGTCAGAATGGACCCTCTTCAGATCCAGAATTTTTTTCGGTCAGAAGGGACTCTAAATAGCCCGGACTGAGCCCTCGGCAGGCCATAATAAACTTTCGCATGCACGTCCCCCCCAGGTCTCAAATTGGGAAGGGGGTGGGGGGTGAGCTGCCCTTACTGCAACTTCCCCTCCCCAGTTACCTTGTCCTTGTTGAAGTGTCATCTCTTCCCCCTGGCATTGGCGTTTGCCCCGGGAGCCGAGGGTGTTGTTCAAAATCAACTCGCGTTGTTTATTTCATGAAGTCCGAGCTCGTTCGAGTCTTGTTCCAGTTTTTCTTGTGTATCTACAAGACCCAGCTGTACAACCCATGTCACATCCGTGCTTGGCATATGTATTTATTTTGTGTGCCTAGCCTGGGATTGCGGCAGTGGTTTTCCGAGGGCGAGTAAAAAACTTCTCCATTTTGGCAGCACATTTTCCCTGCAGGGAAATTTTATCTGCCGGTATAAATACGCGGGCAGCACGTGGATTGCGTTGTGGTGTCAAGCGGCTTCCGCGTACGTAAGAGGGGTATAGGGGTCTATCATTTCAGAAAGGAGCTGATTCACAGAACTGAAAATTGGGACTGATATAATGCTTGCCTTTTTCCTTTTCGGAAGTTGTAAAAATCCGTTTCCTGACCGAAATCCAGACTCCAATCAGCTTCGTTTAAGTCTGTCCGAGTGTAGTAAATGGTCATTGTGGTCCATTGACCTGAAATATTTGATTGGGTGCTCTAACATCAAGCCCCAGATGTTGAAATGTATATAAGTTTCCGCTTATATTCTTGATGCATGTTTCCATCCCAGTCTGCAAAAAGATCCACCTGCTGTGCAGGATTCTTATATGAGACTGGTGCGCCTGACCCCGCCTCGGTGTTGTGAGCCTGACTCGGGCTAAGCCAGTTTGTGCTGAGGGGCTATTGTGGTGCTGCTGCTATGCCAGACATGTTCAGGGTAACATGTATTATTTTTGGTCTGATTTCCATTTGGGTACCTGCCTCCAGGCTGCAAAACGTGCATGTTTGTCCGTATATTTGGTCGTGATCTTCAGTAGTACTTGACACTTCATTATTAAGTTGTTCATCAATTGATGTTTTTAAGATCATCATAATCATCAAAATGAGTGACAAATGGTCAAAAATATGCATGCACCCTAATGCCAGCCATTAGTTTGTGATGCATCAATCTGATTTGTTAACTTTCCAGGGGGGATGACTGAGCGTCACTGGTGCTGAATGAGGTGTGAAGGTTTTCGTATTAAATCACCTGTAAACTGACATGTCCATTTATAAAATTTTCTGGTGCATTCCAGCTGCCCCACCCAACCGCACAGGTGGAACAGTTGCGGCAGCAGCAGCACCACGTAACTTGTACAGCATAAAAGGATGGGTTGTCATATGATGAAAACAATTTTAAATGGGTTGGTGAAGTATGAAACTCTGCATCATGTCAGCATGATTCTTTTCACTTATTCATTATGGCGTGCTTGTTTTCAGTCAACAACTGGCAGAGGATAGCCACTACAGGCTGAATCCAGATATTGTTTGTTTTTAGCCAAGATTGATCAACACTAGCCACTATTGTTTTGCCACCAGATATGGCTACGGTAAGTTTGTGCTTATTGCACTGATTGAATTGTGGCATCTCAGATATTTGTTCATTGTGGTGGTTGTTAAGGGTGCTTTGTTTTGTTTACATGGTTGGTTTTGTTTCCTCTTGGATTCATTATGCACATGCAGGGTGATGTCTAGAAAGGCTCCTGGGCTTTCTTGGTGAAAAAGCAGTTGTTTGAAACCAGTGCTAGACCAGAGAAAATTTTTAACATTTTGATCTGACAGCACTTTTTTGGAACTGGTCGCAGGACAAGTCTTAGTGCAGTGTTTTTGTCCGCATGTTTTTGGTCATACAAAGCTTGGCATATTGGTTTCTAATAGCAAAAGATGACTCAGGGGCAGAAAACTGGCATGAGCAATATTATGTATTGTTAATACTGGTATCTGACCATTACTGCACCAGCATCCTGTCAGCCAAATGGGCTTGCCAGCATCCATTGAAAATATATTCAGAAACATAGACTGTCATCATGTGTTTTGGCTTCCACTCCTAAGGTTCATTTCTCCTTTTCTCTCATGATTGCCATGTGTGTGTACTAGGAGGCCTATTGGCATGCTAGGCTTTCAGATCGCTATGCATACAGCACAGTCGGCCTCTCAGAACACCATCTCTTTGACCATTGCCCCGCCCATCTGTGGGCACACAGTCAGCCTCCCAGAACACTTCCTCTTTGACCAATGCCCCGCCTGTCCGCTGCTGCACAGTCAGCATCTCAGAACACCATCTCTGTGACCACTGCCCCGCCCGTCTGTGGCCATGCAGTCAGCCTCTCAGAACACCATCTCTGTGACCATTGCCCTGCCTGTCTGCGGCCGCACAGTCAGCCTCACAGAGCACCATCTCACTGCCACGGCCGCCTGCCTGTCTACAGCTGCACGGTCTGCCGCTCACAACGCCGTGTTTCTCTGACCGTCCCTCTGTCCGTGCGCGTCCGCGCAGTCTGCCGCTCAGAACGCTGTGCCTCTCTGACTGTCCCCCTCTCCGTGCGCGGCCGAGCAGGCGGCCGCTCAGAAGGTTGCCGAGGTGCGCGAGGTGACGCGCCTGGAGCGGGTCGGCGCACACTCGCACATCCGCGGCCTGGGCCTGGACGACGCGCTGGAGGCGCGGCCCGTCTCGCAGGGCATGGTCGGCCAGCCGGTGGCGCGCCGCGCGGCCGGGCTCGTCCTGCAGATGATCCAGGAGGGCAAGATTGCCGGCCGAGCTATCCTCATCGCTGGCCAACCGGGGACCGGTGAGGGCTGGCTCGATACGGGCGGGCGGGCTGGCTGCCGTGGCCGGTAGCGGTTGGATTGTGTGCCGGCGGAACATCAAGTATGCACTCTTTCTGTGATTTTCGGATTGGCAAGGCTTTTGACAGTAGCAAATGATCGGCATTCGGTTGTGTCTCCTTGCAAACCTTCGGTGATGCTACGACAGACAACCAATGCACATTAGAGCTCAGTGCAGTATTGCGATCATCACCATCGCAGTTCTAGCACACATATATCCAAGTCTGATTCCCACAAACGCGGATGGTTAATGGGTCACCTCGCCACGGAGTTGAATTTGGACATTAGGATGAAAACGACCAATTGCCCTCAACAAACCCAGTGCAGGCGTCCGCGTGGCTTGCCTGGCCGTGTGTGACCGTGATCTGTGAATACCAGGCAAGACGGCGTTGGCCATGGGCATGGCGCAGGCGTTGGGACAGGATACACCCTTCACCTCCATGTCCGGTTCCGAGATCTACAGTCTGGAGATGAACAAGACGGAGGCGCTGATGCAGGCCTTCCGCAAGTCCATCGGCGTCCGAATCAAGTAAGTGATGCCATTCAGCCACTCTCACTTCAGTCACTGCTGCCACCATCCTCCAGTTCAGGAACTGATGGTATTGCTGTATTTTTCGTTGACTGTAGTTGGTTCCTCCTGGTAAACTACAGTTCTGTTTATTTGCTATATGTTTGTAACAACATGCTAGGCTGCTCAGTTACTACTGTTGCGACTGCACCCCTTTTTGGTAAAGTCAAGCAAGATTATGTTTGATTTATCTGACCAAGCAAGGGAACGCTTTAGTATGCTAGCTGTGTGCGCCCCTCTCGGTTAGACCACCTGTCCCTTGCTCAGTTGTTTGGAGCGCCTGCCTTCCGGTTCATCCACTCAGGGTGGGTTGGGTTGGAGTCGCTTCAAGGGCTCGCTATTTGGCGTTAATAACCGTGCCAAAACTTGCGAGGTAAACACAACAAAGCAGCCCTTTACAGACGCCATCATGATGGCGGCCGGTTGGTCACCGCGGTCGCGCTAAACGTCGGGTTGCGTGAAAGGGCAGGGCGGACTGTCCCGAGCATTGCGACGCATTGAGCTTTCGTCACCAAATTCTGCTGTCGGCCTGGAATCTTACGATCGGTTCGTGCGAGCTTTGATCTCACAAGTCCATGTTTTCAAAATTTCGTACTGAATCTTCAAAAAAGTAGTTCAGCTCCCCATAAATCACGCATTTCTTGCCGTCTGCTGACTCTTGCTCGTGTGTCATGATCACGAGCAGCAGCGTCCATTACTACTTTTCCACTTCTTGAGGCGTCTCCGAAGCCTCAGTTTGGCCTTCCCTTGTCAGACTGACCCTGTTTGACCAGTTACGGATGAACTTGTGCAGTTGGCTTTAGATGAGCAGTGCGTACGTACCGGGTGCAGTTCTAAGTCAACAAATATACGGTATTGAATGAACCATCTAACGCTGGGAGAATGATACAATATACACTGCTCTCACGTCCGTTGTAACATACTGACTTCATTTGGATGCAGCATTCCAAAATTCCTTCGGTTGGATGTTTATGGTGTCATGACTTCACGCTGCCAGACTTCTGCCTCCTCGGCGCCTCTGCACGCACATTTCGGCGGCTGTTGAACCACTGCCCATGACCCCGAACCCCGACATCTGACCTGCCCGACCGATTTGTCAGTCCCTCGGTGTTGGATTGTCCGCCGCCCGGCTCGATGCTGATTGTCCGATTTTGAGCAAAGGAACGAAGGACATGCTGTGAACCCCGAACCGGGGACGTAATAAATAGCATCGATAGATGCCGATGCTGCTACCACCCAGGTGGCCGAATATTGCCACACTGTGGTGACCCGTCAGCCATAGGTGTAGTAATTGAGATCAAGGGGCTGTGACCCCTCACTGAATGTAAAAGGAAGTATCGGATGTTCGGTGGGTTTTTGGAAATAACTATCTGTAGAAAGGTTTGTAAAAGTGTGCACATTTGTTACACTTTTACTGCATGTGGGGACTGTAAAATTTGCACATGGAGGACGTTTGTACTACGCGTCTGGTGCCGAGAGGTGGCACCCCTGTGTATTCTATGCAGATTTTAAGGGATTGATTCAAGCGCAGAGTTCCTGTCAGTGACAGGGTTTGGCCATATCCTGGCTCTCATGCGCCCCATTAGAGCAGCTACAGTCCACTGCGGGCTTTTCCCGATAGATTTTAGTTTGCCGTGTATGTAATACGCTAACAACGCCCGGCCTTATGTCAGCCTGCCTCCCATGCTGAGTTGTCCGCTGAACGTCATGAACGGGTCCCATCAGCCCTGCTGTCTGGGATTGCCGGTCAACAGAGCTGCCTCACTTCGGGATATTGCGTCACCAACTGACCTGCGGGCACGGCCGCACTGTCTGTAATGTCATGCCGTGCTGTTGCTCTCCAGGGAGGAGACGGAAATCATTGAGGGAGAGGTGGTGGAGATCCAGGTGGACCGGCCCGCCTCCGGCACCGGCGCCAAGGTCGGCAAGCTGACGCTCAAGACCACCGAGATGGAGACCATCTACGACCTCGGCACCAAGATGATCGAGTCTCTTGTCAAGGAGAAGGCACGTTCTGAGCCGAGATGACCAATAATAAACGTTGATGTGTGAGGCTGTCACAGTCGGCGTACATCCTGGTGTGTAATGTGGCGCAGATAGCATCCTATATTGCAACAAAAAGGGTGATTCACTTACATCTGAGGTTTCAGTCGTGCAGTAACTATAGATTGCATCAGACTGCTCACGAGCTCTGTATTTTGGGTCTATGCCCTCCAGCACAGCACACACAAACGCTGCAGCACAGATGCAGCCTGTTCATCTCCGGTGTGACGGTCAGGCGGCTTCGGTGCATGCTTCTTGCTGTCTAGTATATGCCATCGTTCACACCGTTCTGCGTGACACGGGCGGCCGGCCACGTCCCTGACTCTCGCCGACCTCTTTCTCTCAGGCGCAAGCTGGTGACGTTATCACCATTGACAAGGCCACTGGCAAGATCACCAAGCTGGGCCGTGCGTTCACGCGCGCGCGCGACTACGACGCCACGGCTCCCCAGACGCGCTTCGTGCAGTGCCCCGAGGGCGAGCTGCAGAAGCGCAAGGAGGTGGTGCACACGGTGACGCTGCACGAGATCGACGTCATCAACAGCCGGACGCAGGGCTTCCTGGCGCTGTTCTCCGGTGGGTGGCCGGCCACGCTGGCGCGCCCGTCGCCGGCCCACCCGGCGGCGCGGCCGGCTAGGCCCGGTGGCCACCGTGTGTGTGGGTGTGGGTGGATGGGTGGTTGAAGGGGAAGTGGGTGCGTGTATGGTTGTGGACGCATCGGGTAGGGAGGGCAGGTTGCTGGGAAATGTCATGAAGTGGAGTGATGGAAGTGAGTGGGGGTAGAGGGCACATTCCAGCCAATTTGACTTCTGTAAATCAAGTCAAATTGGGCACACTTCATCCGATTTGACTCTTCTGGATCTAATCTGAGCGATGTTTCTGTGAGCGTTGTGAGCCTTTCTCGCCGTGTTCTGTGCGTGTGATCGTCTCTGGCTTAGTCTCGTGACTCGCTCCAGGCGACACGGGTGAGATAAAGTCTGAGGTACGGGACCAGATCAACACCAAAGTGGCCGAGTGGAGGGAGGAGGGCAAAGCAGAGATCGTGCCAGGAGTGCTCTTCATCGACGAAGTAAGAGGCCTCAGTCATCTTGACATGGCTCATCTCTTGCTCTTCTTTCCTCTGCTGTTTTGTATTGAACTGATGTTTCATGTTATGTTTCATGTTTCATGTTCATGTTATGTTGTCAGTACGCCACGTTTGGAGGCTGTGCTTATCGTCTGGAGCCTGGTGACATGAGCTAATGTAAAGCTCATGAGCTCTATATCACGAGAATCATGACCATCGGCACAGCTTCCAAATGTCGAGTGTTGATGACATAACCAATGGTTCCTCGGTAGCGTTGTTTAACCAGCATCTCCCGACATATTGAAGGTAGCGAACTATCGGTATAAGGGTCATCATCGTCATCAACTCCGAACTCATAATGCTGAGAAAGCAGGACCTCAGGGCCTTTCTTCATCAAGTACGGCTAAGGAATGCTGATTCATATGCCGCGGATTTGTCGATGTAAAATCTTTAAGTTTATGACACATGAGCTTCTCTGAGACCGCCCTAGCGATGGTATACGTGTGGGACGCATGGCTCACCGAGCTGCTAATTCCGCCAGGTGCACATGCTGGACATCGAGTGCTTCTCATTCCTGAACCGTGCGCTGGAGAACGAGATGGCGCCGATCCTGGTGATGGCCACCAACCGGGGTATCACGCGCATCCGCGGCACCAGCTACAGCTCGCCGCACGGCGTCCCCATCGACCTGCTGGACCGCACCGTTATCATCTCCACCCGGCCGTACCAGGAGAGCGAGACCAAGCAGATCCTCAAGATCAGGTGCGCCTCCGACGGCGCTGGCCGCCGGCTGGGGGCCTGCCGTGCCCCACAGGTCACGGTGGGCCGTCGACTGTGGGCCTGCCATGCCTCACAGGTCACGGTGGGCCGCCGGCTGGGGGCCTGTCGTGCCTCACAGGTCACGGTGGGCCGTCGACTGTGGGCCTGCCGTGCCCCACAGGTCACGGTGGGCTGCCGGCTGGGGGCCTGCCGTGCCTCACAGGTCACGGTGGGCCGTCGACTGTGGGCCTGCCATGCCTCACAGGTCACGGTGGGCCGCCGGCTGGGGGCCTGTCGTGCCTCATAGTTCACGGCGATATAGGATATGACGGTTACAGCCTGGTGGCAGTGCTTCAGTAAAAGTGGTCCATGCCATTGGAGAGCCTTTTAAGGTTTTCTCCTCGTTTTTTTAAGTATCTTGTTGGACCAGCTGGCCTCGTGCACGGTATTTTCAAGGAACCGGCGTTGGGGCTGAGCTGTTCTGGCTGCTGGATTATCTATTTGCATGAGGTAGATAATCCGACCCACGTAGCTCGTAAGGTGATATGAAGCATTAGATACATTCAGTGTGAAATGGCTTAGGCCCACCAGAAAAAACTTAAATGTATTTTACTTAGAACAAGCCGAAAATTATTGCCAATGTGGTTTTCCAAATATTGTGTGGGTTTGACGTATTATTATATGATGCCTCGTTTTGTATTCGGCTGCAACGCTATGTATTAAAACGGTGTCACAATGCAAGTACCACTGCGCAGAAACGTGCCACACTATGTGTTGGTGCTGAAATCACTCGCTACTGATTGTCTTATGTTGGGCCTAAATACGCCCAGGACTGCATGAAATTATGACGGCGTAAAAACTTTGTGAAGGGAAAAATAGAAATGCACCAATAATTTACTTGTGATTATGCTGATATTGTGTATTTTCTACATCGACATTAGTAACAATTGCCGATGATGTCGAAACTTTTGTGTGTAAAACTATGCAAAAAATGCTGATGTTTGACAATAATGATGAGAAAGTTTGCCTTCGCTTCTTCACAGGCTAGTGAACATGTTTTACTTGACGGAAGTTGAACTTTTGCCGCCCGATACGAGACATGGGAGTGGCTCAAAAAATGCAGTTAAGGGTGATCTGTGTCCTATTTTGAAGGATTCCTGTGTTTCTATGAGGGTCGCTTGACGTGCAGCGTATGGCCGGCGATCAAAGTCTTGGGTGTCAGCCTCCTGCCCGCTGATATCCAATAAATTACCAGGCTCTCCCCCTCCCCTAGGCGGCATATTTATAGCCTCGCCTCCGTTTGTGGCGCCCTCTACCACGGACACATGTTCCTCAGTTATGCATGCATGGCTGTGTCTTGCGCTGGCCCGACTCTGTACAGCATCCCGTACAGCACCCCCGACAGCACCCCCGACAGCGCCCCCGACAGCACCCCCGACCCTGTACAGCACCTCCAACCCTGTACAGCGTCCTGTCGTATCCCGGACTCCACCCCGCGGCCTGCCGCCCGTGTTCTCACACCGTCGCCGCCGGTGGGCCCGCGACGTGTGACGGTCGGCCCCGTCCGCGCCCGATAGGTGTGAGGAGGAGGACGCCGAGATGTCGGACGACGCGCTCACCGTGCTTACCCGGATCGGCATGGAGACGTCGCTACGTTACGCCATCCAGCTGATTACGCTCGCCTCGCTGGTGGCGCGCAAACGCAACTCGTCAGAGGTAAGGCCGGGCCGGAGCGGACTCTCGCCGAGGCGGGTGTGATCCAGCTAATCGCGCTCGCCTCGCTGGCGGCGCTCAAACGCACCTCGTCAGAGGTAAGGCCGGGCCGGAGCGGACTCTCGCCGAGGCGGGTGTGATCCAGCTGATCACGCTCGCCTCGCTGGTGACGCGCAAACGCAACTCGTCAGAGGTAAGACCGGGCCGGAACGGACTCTCGCCGAGGCGGACGTGATCCAGCTGATCACGCTCGCCTCGCTGGTGACGCGCAAACGCAGCTCGTCAGAGGTAAGACCGGGCCGGAGCGGACTCTCGCCGAGGCGGACGCGTCTGCGTCTGTGCCTGACTCGGCGTCGTCGCCTTCTGCGAGGTGCGCCGCTGACGACAGCTGTGAGATGGGTGGTCGGTGGATTGGTGAGCGCCATTTCGGCGACGAGTGTGTAGTGTCCGGCAGGTGGCGCCGGTCAGTTAGGTCTGCCGTCCCGTTTCAGATCGAGATCGAGGACGTCAAGCGTGTGTACTCGCTGTTCCTGGACGAGACGCGCTCGTCGCAGTTCCTCAAGGATTACCAAGACCAGTTCATGTTCAACGAGATCGGTAAGTGCTGGGACCGAACGCGAGAATCCCGTGGACATAGCTTTACGGAAGGATTCAGACGTGGTCGCCATATCACGGATGGAAAAATCGTCGGACCATCGCCCGTGTCTGGTGTGTTGGTATCCAGCGGGTTGTCCTGCGGTCGCCAGGTGTTTTATTTAGCCCCGGGAAGGAATGTGTGGCTTTCTAGACTTCCGAGTCTCCTCCCGGATGGTTGCCTTTCTATGCTCTTCCAGTTTGACTGACGGGGGGCGATTGGTCTCTCCTTTGTAGTACCTGCCACAGCTGCATGGCATGTCTGGATGCAGCTCTTCGCATGTTCCATAGTTGTCTGGTGCGACTGGTACGTGCTCTTCGAAGCATTGAGCTCCTGGTGAAGACTCCTGGTGTTGTATTGTCCACCATATTCTGCTGATCGTTGCTGCTAAGCTCCTGTGAGGAAAAAGTACTCTTGCTGTTGATTTGTGTTTTGGCTGCCCTGCTTGTGGAGCGTGCTCTTTGGACTTCCGGTCTGTGAAGCCTCTTGGGCACCTGTTCCGACCGAACTTCTCGGCTAGGTGGCTCATTTCTCTTCACCGGTTGCGCGATGTTGAAAGCAACTCCCGATGCGTTTCTGGCCTGTGCCCAGGTGGTGGAATGTTGTGGCTAGGAAGTTCAGGTGGCGACCGGTTTCTTTTGGTTCGCGGTACACCGGTGTCCTGAAGATGTTGTTGGTTCTCTTGACTTAGACGTCTAGGATTGGAAGCCCTTTTGCGGGTTTTGATGTTTCTGATGAAAATTTGTCAGTCATGGATCAGGGTAAACTGTCTACACTTCCCTTTTTTGACTAGGTATCATATCTTGCAAAGCTTTACACAAAACTGCAGTTTCACTGTACTGTCTCGAGCTGGTTTCGAAATTATTTGCAAGGTGCAGACATGCGCCTGGTTTCCGGTTTTGGTTCCTGGTTCCCACTGGTCCCTTCGACTAAACAAGAGCCCGGAGGGTGGTTCTCATGGGGTCTTTCGGTGAAACAAAAGCCTGGATCCTGGTTCTTGTGGAAATCTTTTGACGCAAACCTGTTGTTCTGGATCTTGACTCACTGGTTCTTTCCACAACACAAAATCCTGGATCCTGCTTCCTGCTGGATCTTTCGACAAACCAAAGATCCTGGATCTTGATTCCTATGAGAGCGCACGGGAATGGAACAAGCGTGTTGGGGATCCAGTCCATAACGCAGCTCTTCAGCACAATCCCTGGAGCACTCTGCACGTCCTCAGCTGTTGGCCCGTAGCCTCACCAATAGTTTCACCTGATGGCGGTAAAATAAATTGGCTGAAACGTTGTGCACATGTCAGACACATCAGACCAGGACCAGAGTGCAAACAGTTATTCCACTCGTGAATTCCGTGGGCAATGGCCATGTGTCTCAAGCCAGCCTTCCTGACTGGTAGGTCACAGGACAGCTGATGCAGGGATGCCCTGTGGTGCTACAGGCTTGTTGCCGCGGACGGTCATGCAAAAAGCTGGATTATTTTGGACAGAGTGACATTTATGTACAATATTCGGTGCGCTGGAGCAACCCGTATGCATTCGGTGCAACCCGTCGACGACTCGCTATTGTCCGCGAACACCGCGCTGACGGTGGGTGCTCTTTGGCTGTCGCAGGTGATGGTGACGGCACCAGCATGGAGACGTCATAGACGAGGGAGGAAGGGCCAGTCACCACCCCCGGTGCCCTGACCGTGGAGGATCAGTCACCACCTCCGGTATTCCGACGGTGGAGGAAGGATCAGTCCACCACCCCCGGTAGTCTCGACGGTGGAGGAAGGATCAGTCACCACCCCCGGTAGTCTCGACGGTGGAGGAAGGACCAGTCACCACCCCCGGTGTCTCGACAGTGGAGGAAGGACCAGTCACCACCCTCGGCGTCCTGCGAGCGGGGGTCGAAGCGGCGGCGCACATCCACATCTTATGTACTCGTCATTGCACATCGGCCGGGCAGCGTCCGGCGCGGGCCGGATTTTTTGTTGGCAGAGCGTTGGTGCGTGGTTGCATTTGATTGTCAATCGTTCTACGTTCGCTGTGCCTATTTTGGTAATACAGCACCATCATTGCGAGTGATGTGATTGAAAATTGCGGTGCGTGAGCAGGAGAATGCGGTGCGGAACCTGCCCAGACGGTCAGTTACAGGCGAATGCGTTAAAGATGATAGCAAGCAAGACGAATGGGGGAATAGTCTACCGGGAAGTCGTCGCGCGGGATCACAATCACTAGGGGCCTCACATGGACAGCTTAATTACGTAACTTGTTAAGTGTATTCGCAAGAAAAATTATACAGATAAATAAGACAGCTCTAATAGCCTTGTTCATAGTAGAACAACCAGGAAAGTCAAAGATAGATGTTTGATATTTCGGTTACATGCCTTTATCGAAACGGATATGTTTATTTGTTAACGACCCTGGACGCAACGTATAATTACAGGCTGATACGGCTGCGATGGACTCCCTGCTAGGGAATCCTGGAGCAGCTCTAATATCTGTGTGCAAAACTTATCGGGCGAGTCAGCCTTGAAATTCACTGTCGAACTTAGTGTGAGGAAGCAACTGCCATCTCTAGACCGGATTGACTCATCAAACAGTGCCTTTCAGACAGATGTTTACAGAACAACCACCAACCACGGTGACGTGATGTTTGACGCCTGATAGGCAGCGAATTCCACACGCGAATCGCTCGGCAGTAACATGATCGGCGTGCGAACGTAGTGCGCGCTCGCGGGAGCTGCGACATACCTTCAGCTGTGCAGCGAGTGGCACATACGGTCTCCAGGGCGCCCACCGACCACCCGTTCGCGCGATGCGTGGGGTGCACGGGTGTTCGACGGGATGTTTCGCATGGTCATCATGTCCCGTTCGGTGATCATTCAGGTATTTACGCCCAAGCCAACGCAAGCGGTACGTGAGAAACACCATCGTGATTATTTAAGTGGCGGACTATACGGGCGCCGTAGTCAGATATATTCCTACTTCATCTCGACACTCTTGCCTTCTTGTCAATCCTGTAGTCAATCATAGCGCACCTTATGTGCCCCCCCCCCCCCCCCTGTCTGCACGGTCATCTTCATCTTCTTGACCCTGGCATCTTCACCTTAGCCCTGATCACTACCAAGTAGGATGCGTCCAGAGGGATGGTCGGTCGACCTGATCGGTTTCCCCGGATAAGATGTGGCCAGGGTCCCTTCCAGGCGACTGGGTGCAGCTATCTTATGGCTATTCTGGTCAGGCTTGCCCTGCACTGAATCTTGCTCTTAAAAATCCGTCCTGCCTGGCCCCTCCTGCTCAATGTGCTCATCATTCTCTAACCCCCTGCGGTTGGAACCCTACCTCGGCCTGGCCTCTCCTGCCTCATGTGCTCCTCATTCTCCACCCCCTGCAGTTGGAACCCTACCTCAGCCTGGTCTCTCCTGCTCAATGTGCTCCTCATTCTCTACCCCCTGCAGTAGGAACCCTACGTCAGCCTGGTCTCTCCTGCTCAATCTGCCCTCCAGTCTGTACCAGCTGCAGTAGAAGCCCCTCAGCCCGGCCTCGCTTGCTCAAACTACTCATTTTCTACCCCGGCAATAGGAGCTCCTTCTCGACTCCTGTCCTGCCATTCAACTCGTCAGCCCATCTACGTCCCCCTTCGTCTTTCATCGTGACCCGCTTGTCCTCACAGTTCTGGCCTTTCCTGCTGTTCTTTATCCTCCTCCTTGGCTGGTCCTCCAATCATCTTCATGCCTTTTGTGTCCCGTCGCCTGTGCCGCTCAATACCATTTAGAAACTTAAGCTCAATCTCCGTTATCCTTTTCTTCCTAGCACACGTCTCAAGTCAAGCCAAGGACGAACTCATCTTTGTTCGAGTTGCTGTTTCTTCCCCGGAAGACAACTTTTAGTTTTTTAACTGCTTTGTTCATTTTACCTCGGTAGATCTGTTTCATCCATATGGAAACCAGACTCACACGTCGTAATGGGCGTCAAATGACCAACGCTGTCAGCGAGCCCGAAGTCGCCCACTATAAAACAAAACATAACTTGCAATAATATATCGTCAGGATCACGACCGACACAATAGGGACGTAAGACCACAAGCTCTCAGCACAAAAGCGAACGGCAAGCGTTCCGATGCACGCGATGATGGCCAGTCATGCACGATCACCAGTCTTGAGCGGGCGGGCAGTTGACCATCACGGTGCAAACCTGCCCTGAGGGCACAGCGCCTCCACAATTACAAAATGGCAGTTTCCGAGCACATCGGCCCGCTGATATTTCACACACTGGACGTGGATTCAAAATCGCCCAAAAGAGCCGCAGCTGGGTGTAGTACCGGACGGCACAGCGCCAGTCTCCACCAATCAAACGCCGCCGACGCGACACACCAAGGCACGCACCCCTTGCCCGCCTGTGGGCCGACCTGAGGGGGTCTCCCGTGGGCCCTAGCCTGGACGGGAGGCAGTGATGGCAATTCCCAGGCCTAGCGGCCGGAGGAGGAAGCGCCACCCTCATTTTTTTCCTCCTCTTCCTCCTCCTTGGCGGCCGTGTAAATCTGGTCAACGTCTCCCCACACCAGCTGCACGTCACTGAACGTCTGCAATGCGAAACAATAATCACACAGATGTCCAGCCTGGTCTTTAGCCAATGTCCGTGTCTCCCAACGCTCTAAATCACCGAACGTCTGCGCAAGCGATAACTTGTCGAAACGGACGTCACCGCACGGACCACTAGTTTAGCGACAGCGTGGCGATATCGGAGCGGTAGCCTCGAAAGCAGATACCTCGTTTGACGAGGAATGCAACAACTAAAGAAAGTACTTATTGACTATTTGAGGCATGCGCCTTGCAATATGCGCTGGAGACGCCTGACCAGGCAGCAGGACCAAGAAAATAGCATGCCGTTGGGCAGGCGGCCTGCTTGAGTAGTCGAGGTCTTATGAAAAGTTAGAGGTCAAACTTGATCATGAATCACTAAGATCCCCTCTGTTAATCAATATATGTCATTGGTTGTCTTCTCGTACTCACTGGAAGGGTACCAATCAAAACGTTGCATGTGTTATATACTATAATTATGTCAGCATGTGTTATACACACAGCACATGTACCATAGGAGAGGCTTTTGACTTGGTTGGATACGTATAGTTACGCTGTCATCATTATGCTTCTTACACGAGACCCTGCTACGTCACCTGCCGTGAACTTTTGACAGAGGTCTTCTATGTAACTAGTTTTGTGCATCTAGGGGGGGGGGGGGCAAATTGGCTGGGTTGCTACTTTCACTTAATTTCACTGTTGGTTACACCAGACAAGTGCGATTTGATGAGTAATATCAGTTTTCTCTAAATCCTGAATAGCTTAGAATTTCTATTTGAAGTGGCCGACCCTGTGAGAGAAATCTCATTTGAATCCCCGCTTACCATTATGAAAATACTACATTTAATTTGCATACGTTGTTCCAATGTGTGTGTTTGTCATGTTTGCTAGTAATTTGCTCACCTCGCAATCCAAAAATAACTTCATAAATGGACTCGTCGCCCAAGAAAATCCCTCAGAAAGAGACATTAGACGACTATCTGTGTCATCCGGATCAAAATATGAAAATTCATTAGCATTCAAGAAGGCGGCAACCGACATTTTGAATTGTGAAAAATGCTCATGGTTGCACAAAGAGCAACAAGCTAATTTGGTTTATTTTATAACATAGAACATATCTTCACGAAGAACGTCTCCTGTAGGGTCACATTGCACGGTCACCACTTTTGTAACTTGACTATAGCACTCGGGGCTGGGCAATGGCGGTACCTTCGATAGCCAGGACTCCTCGGCCAGGATGTCGTTGAGAATGTGTGTCGAGTCTTCGTCGGGCGCCTCCCTGCGACGGGCGGCCACCTTCTCGCAGCAGCGCAGGTACAGATGGAACGTCTGGTGGACCACCTGACCGACCCGCCTCGTCAGTGGTGCTGAGTGCGAACGGGCCCATGGACTCCAGTGGGCAATGGGCGGTGCGCAACGCGAAGGAAGATATCGACATAAAATACCGGCGGTCTCGTCGGTGGAAACGGTGAGCAGCGCTGGAACCAATGCCGCCATAACAGGAAGATAACATGGCTAGTCGAAACTGACAGCAAGAATGCGGGCCAACGCCTTGTCACCGGTATAGCGCCATCATGCACACCCTCAATGAAGACATCTAATGCATCTTTCCCGTCCCTCCCTTCCTCTCCTCCCCCCCCCCCCCCCCCTCCACACACACACACAGCCCACTCCACCTTGTGGTAGAGGTCAGCCAGGCCCGCGCAGAAGCTGCACATGTTGTACTGGCAGCGTGTGGCGGCGGCGGCAGGCGCTTCGACCAGAGGCTGCAGGCTGGTGGGGTCGTACGGCCGGCCGTACATGTGCACCAGGCGGGCGTTGGCCATCTGGTGGCAGATGGCGCACTCGGACGGCGGCACGTTGCGCAGCAGCACCAGCTCTAGCACCGGCAGCGTGTCCAGATCCGACTGCGGGGCAGGCGAGCGTCGTCAGCGTCAGCTTCAGCTCCGGCAACAGCGGCAGGTCAAGCTCAAACTGTATGTCACGCTACCGTGTGCTAGGCAGAGTTTTACAATGTTGAGCGTCGAGCAGCGGCGGGCTTCCCTTAAGAAATCCGTTGCTTTATCAGAACACTTGAGCCTGGGCTTGAGCAAACCAGGGCTAAGGGCCTGACCCACGTCAAGCAGTTACGTCTGGCACAGAGCCAATGGCGTCAGGCGCCCAGAATGTACGCATGCGTCCGTGTTCTGGTGAGGCGCGGCGACGACCCACTACAGCTGGAGCAACGGACGCACGCAGCTGGGAGCTACAGGGCAGCCTGGTCGACCCATTCACCAGAGGCAGCGTCTTACCGCCGCAAGAGAATGCTTTTACAGATTCGAAGGGGGCGTGGACAGTTAACGAGTTAAAGAGGCGAGCGTGGCAATGTATCACAATGCGACGCATAGAAACGTCTACGTAGACAAGGTCGGATTGTGGGCTGGGTGTCTTGGGTCGTAAATGTAAAACTTTCACGGTATTATTCAGAAAAAGCGTGAAACGAGCGAATTTTGAAAGCTGGTATACCTGTTCAGTTGTCATTTGTTATGAAGGCATTTGAGATCAGACACATGCACCTGTCGCAACTTGGCATAGTGAATGCTGTTTTCTTAACAAGATGAAATCTAGCAAATAACATCAGTGTAAAAATGCGAACAAAGCTGGTCCCGATACCCACAATAGTCTATTCCAATTTAGCAGTCGGTCTGATCGCCCGCTTTTCGATTCATCCAGCCGTGGCGGGGTGGATTTCGATCGCTTTAGGCGCTCGCTACTGGCTATTGAAAGACAGCCTGCAGTTGGTCACAGCGGCTGCGCTAATGGCCACGTGACGCCGTGACGCCAGAGGACGGGCGGACGGTGGCGATCGTTGCGGCGCTGCGGCACGCCAGGTTTTCCCCTCCTACCCCCCGGCCCCCCCCCCCCCCCCCGCCCTCCAAGAACATTACGCTGTCGACGCGGCTTTCCCGGATGGTGGGGTGAGGGCTCACAACAAGTAACTTTAACAAGTTCCGCTCAGCGTCCGCGCTGATACTGGAAATCCATCCAGCTCACAAAGGGCTCGGACTACATCTTAAAAAAACAAACAACGGAGAGCGCGTTTCTTCAGGAAGGATAAAATTAGCTTACGTCAACCTCGTTCAAGCATAGCTCGACCACAGGGGAGGGAGAGGAGAAACGCCGTGAAGTCCCCAACGTCACATAATCCAAAACGACTCATTTGACCGTTGCATGGAAAAGGATGCTCTGAACGTCACCCAAAAAAGCTCCCAAAAGATTATAACCTCTCCTCCCAAATTCCTAACTGGTTAGGAGCCCATACATACTCCATCCATCTTGATAATCAACAACGGAATTCGCAAAATACATGTGCCAGCCATTCCCATCAAATTGTGAATGCCCGTGCTCATGAAAGAAAACACAAACCTGCGTTTTCTCATCCCAGGATTTCAGCTCCAATATCTTCTTTTTTCTTGCTTCGCTGATTCCTTTCACAATGTTAACATTCTTCATAAAATATTCATCTGGAAATACAAACACACAATGTGATTGTGAATTGAGGAGCATCAAGAACCGCATCACGCTTCATAAAGGCGATTGCCATCTGCCAGCCTGTCAGCTGACCAGCTGCAGTTAGCATTGGATCGAACAGGCGAAATAAATACAGTAAGCGGCTTCCCGTCTTACTTCCGGATGTCAGGTGATTATGTACTTGCCGAGATCCGACCCCAGCTATCAAGGACGACATAATAATGTTCAACAAAGGCCTGACAAACAGGAATCGGGATCGGGCGGTTTGTGAGTAATTAACAGGAACCAAAAATAATGGTCCTGCCTTTGTGAGGAGCCAACAGGAACCAGGAATCTGTATGTCGGGTAAGTTCCTCATGTGCCGGCTCGCATCCTAAGAGCACGTTCGCTTACATTAAGATCGACTATCTTATCCAGAAGCGGTCCACGATGAGCACATGGCAAAAGTCAATCATGTGAAAATACACGCAAAAAATTGCGAGAGGAAACCACTGAAATAAGGGCCGTTTTTACAAATAACGTTGGTCTTCACTTTACAACCAATTTCCAACAATTTGTGTTAGGGTCTTGCTCCATTTCATGACACAACCCAAAATGCGCCATACTGGCAAGGGAATGAGACACAAAAAGGGTACAAACAGCGCATTAAAGCAAATTACAGTCACCTTCCTCAGAAAGCAACCAAATCCGTTACCCCCAAAAGGAGTCACCAGTCAATGAAGTCCTTCAAACTTCCCAGAGTAATCCGCTGCAACATCTAGAACCCAATATCAGTCAATGGCAAGCAGCCAAGGTATGACAAATGGAGGATCCCAAGCTGATGGAGGTCAGGAAACAGTTCGATTGCAGAGGTTAGTCACAGGCGCGCAGCTAACAGCCGAACCTGACCCCTAAGCCAGACCCCAGTGTTCGTGTCTGACGACCTTGACGACACGCTTTCCGAGCCAAACGGCAGCCCCGGCCCACCGGAACAAACCAACCATGCCGTCACAGCACAGACGCACCTCCCTCTTCTGTGATCTCCAGCAGGAAGTTAGGGTCAAGCGCCTGTGAGATCAGCGTCTGTATGTAGATCTCGAAGCTCTCCAGATGCTTGCTTGTCTCTTCTATCGACAACATCTTGGACATACTGGAAGCCCCATGAATGGCATTAGTGATCAAGAGCAGACAGGTTAATCGATGACCACTTCAGTCGTCTATCAAGCAGGCTTGTCGTGGTGTCACCCGGAAAGCGCACAAGCGCTCGCGCCAACATGTCACATCATCATGTCAACTATTTTGTATCCACAAGATTGGCAAGCCAAAACAGAAACGCATGGCCTAAGATGTATGGTAATAATGTGACGCTTTGTCTGGGTCACACCCGCGTAGATACGTCGTTCGCCAGGGGCCAGAATGAAAACGCTGGCTACCAAACCAAGTGACACTCAAAAAGCCCTTTTCGCCTCCCACCAATTCCGCATCGACATCCGTAAATGGGACATCAATGCACCAATATCACGACGCGTTACAGAGTCGCGGGCGATGAGCCTAGCTAGACAGGCTTAAGGCAAGCACAGCACCGTCTAAATACGGACGGGGCTGGGTGGAGTAGCCGATAGGCGGGGACTACGGAGAGACGGCTCACTTGAAAGTGGCGCTGTGCGGGTTATCCATCAGCTCGACAATGATCTCGTTGCGCCCCATCTGGTGGTAGCGCACGGTGACCGGCCGGAACTTGTCCGCGTTCGACGACCAGCTCATGTACTGCAACGCCCCAGGGAACAAGAGCCCGTCGTCACGGTCGGGACAATGATAACGAGGGGCGGGGGGGGGGGGGGGTCCGGGACCGACAGTGTCACAGTGAGATGAGATCCGGGACCCACAGCGTCACAGTGAGAGGAAGTCCGGGACCGACAGGGTCACAGTGAGAGGAGGTCCGGGACCCACAGCGTCATAGTGAGAGGAGGTCCGGGACCGACAGCGTCACATAAAGAGGGGGTCCAGGGACCGACGACGTCACAATGAGAGGCGGTCCGGGACCCACAGCGTCATAGTGAGCGAGGTCCGGGACCGACAGCGTCACAGTGAGAGGGGTTCGGGACCGACAGCGTCACAGTGAGAGAAGTTCCGGGATCGACAGCGTCACAGTGAGAGGAGGTCCGGAGCCGACATCGTTACTGTGAAAGGAGGTCCGGGACCGACATCGTTACTGTGAGAGGAGGTTTGGGATAAACAGTGTCATAGTGAGCGAGGTCCGGGACCGACAGCGCCACAGTGAGAGAAGTTCCGGGACCGACAGCGTCACAGTGAGAGGAGGTCCGGGACCGACAGCGTCACAATGAGGGGCGGTCCGGGACCCACAGCGTCATAGTGAGAGAGGTCCGGGCCGACAGCGTCACAGTGAGAGGGGTCCGGGACCGACAGCGTCACAGTGAGAGAAGTTCCGGGACCCACAGCGTCACAGAGGGAGGGGTCCGGGACCGACAACGTCACAGTGAGAGAGGTTCCGGGACCGACAGCGTTACAGTGAGAGGAGGTCCGGGATCCACAGTGTCACAGTGAGAGGCGGTCCGGGGCCCACAGCGTCATAGTGAGAGATCCGGGGGTGACAGCGTCACAGAAAGAGGGTGTCCCGAACCGGCAGCGTCACAGGAAAATACTATGGAACGCATTGAGTCAGGTTGCATTTGACCAGGTCATCATTCACACGCGCTACACGCCAGCGCGTTTAAATTGATACTAAATACCAAAACGAACGTACTCTGTGGAGCTAGATCTCTCCATCCGGGCATGAGATCCCCCCCCCCCCCCCCCCCCCCCCCCCAACAAACTGCCGATCATCCCTGGGGCCGTTCCAGACGGGCCCTAAGTCCTTACAAACAACACTTCGTGGCCCAATACGCGTGTGCCATAGCACAGTACGTTAGACCACCAGAAAAGATAGCACACAAAGAACTGCTTCACGGAAGCCGTTGACTGTCGAACACCAATGTAGTGTTCACACGTGAGCCACCCACCGTGGCCATGTTCTTGTAGAGGCGCTGGCCCTTGCCTTTTATAGGCTCGTACTTCTGGATGAGGAACTTGCCGTCAATGCGCCAGATGGGCGGCCGGTCTAGGTTGGCGTCCTCCATGCTGATTAGGAAGTCACCAACCTGGCGGGGGCAGGGGCGTCCGCAAGACGACGCCGGTGGTAAGGCAGCCAGAAATCACAGCACGGGCGAAGGGCAGAGGTCTTCCGCACGAGGCCAGGGCTCCAGCGGACGACAAAATAATGAAACGACGAATGCCAAAGACGAGCAGCTAAAGCGATCACTAACGAGCTGAAGCGCTTGAAACGAAACCTGGGTGATGGCTCCCTGCTTCCCACGTCGCATGCTCGACTTACAATCTAACCCGCGCGACAAAAGGTTAGTGGGGCAGATAACAGAAGGCTATGAACAAGATGCAAGATGCAGCTAGAAAGAAAGATTTACAAACAAACAAAACGAAAACAAAACACACGAACTGTTACGCCTCCATGGAGCCCGGCGAGGGTTGAGCCTGAGAAATGCTCCCTGGTTTAGAGACTTCCTACCTTATGTGTTTCGATTTCACCCCAAAATGATAGGCGTGAGTGAATGTAACAACAAAAACCCACGTGACCATGTGGTCCGAGTCTGGTGTCGCTCTGGCAGCGGCACCGGGACCTCACCTTGAGACTGGAGTTGGTGCCCTGGACCGGCGCCTTGGGCGTGTGCACTGCCGCCGCCACGGCCTCGGGCAACTTGTACTTTGTAACCTGACCTCGACCCTTGTCCGAGTGGGCGGTCCGCTCCGTCGCCGGACCGGACGCCTCCTCCTCGCCCGAGCTGGCCGCGTCCTCCTGCGGACGGCCGAGCTCCGATCAGCCGCCGCACTCTGGCCGGCGCACCGCCCACCTATTCCATGCACGAGGCGTCGATTGCACACAGCTGGCGATACAGACCAAACGCGACAGGTCACGCAAACAACACATGAAAGGTTGCACTGATCATGGACAACGCCTGACACGACGACCACAACTAGCGGACCACAGAAACAACACATTGTAAAACAACCAGACATTGGTCGATTCAGCGCACATATAAAAGGGCTTCGAATATTGACTCCCAAACACCATGCAACACACAACATAGGTTGGGCATCTTTGAGCAGCAGCCCGTCACTCATCAATGTCATGCCATGCCATCAGCCATCAGAACTTTATAGCAGATCGCACACGTCCACATCGAATGACGCCTCCCAGGCCACCAGAGGAGCACGGCCCATCTCACCGGCGCAGCCTTGTTGGGCGTCCAGTCGCCGTCGGACGCGCTGTCCTCGGACGCGAGAGGGACCTCAGACGCCTGGTCCGGGTCATCTGGATCGGCCTCCAGTAGACGCCTGAAGTCGGGGGCGCGAGCGCGCGAACGGCGCGAACTGCGACGCCGTCCCTCGCCCTCTGTCATCACAGGTGACTCCGGTCAGGTTTGGCCAGATCAGGCAAGGTCAGGCTGGGTTGGGTCGAGTCAGGGGATGGTCAATTTAAGGCCGGGACGGACCCCAGAGGTGAGCATGGCGGCGACTGGGATCAGATGAACGCATCGCGCGCCGACATGCCGTCGTGGAGTACCGCATGCAGGTGCTCCAAATGTCAATGGCTTGGAAAATAAACAGCATGAATTTAAGAACGTTGGGCCGTTTGTCCCACTATCGATATTTCAGAATATCAATACCAACATGTAAAATAACACCAAGGTTTATCACTAGGATGGCAGCTGACCAATCAAACCGACCACAGAGGAGCGCACAATCCTGCCTGCAACCTCACCCTGGCTGCTGGAGCCATTGCTGGAATGGCGGGCCGCCTGGCCGCCAGGAGCGGGCTCCGACTGCGACTCGCTCTGACTCGGGCTGCTCGAGTCGGCGCGCAGCCGCGCCAGGATGCGGGAGCCGGAGCCGGTGCCGCGCCCGCCCCCGCGGGGCCGTTTGGCCTGCGGCTCCTCGTCCTCGGGGTCAGGCTGCGACGGGCGACCGTCGCCGCTGGCGCTGCCCTCCCGCTCGTGCTTCGCACCGCGGCCGCGACCACGGCCGCGACCGCGACCGCGACCGCGACCGCGACCCCGGCCGCGGCCTCGGCCTCGTCCGTGAGTGGGGGAGGGTTCGGGGGAGGGTTCGGGGGCAGGGGAAGAGGGCGCACCGTGCTCGCCCAACAGCAAGCCGTTGCTGCCTGGGTCTGGCTCAGGCGCCTCCGTCAGTGCCTTCTTCTTGTCCAGAGAACGCTGCACAAAGGCACGGAATACCGATTCAAAGGTGGGCTTCGTCTCGCTTTCGTGCATCGTCAGGCCTGCAGAAGGGACTGCCGTTACATCACCGCACTATGACTAGACGAAGTCTGACTTCTCTCTGACCTCGATAATGCGCCCTGACATTAAATGGCTGGTGATGAATGAAACATTTCAAAGAAAAATGCCAAAACAAGGATCGGACAAGGCTCAAGAGGCCAAATGTAATTTTTGGCCAGCTGTTTCATGAAACAACCGTACCAAACTTCTGGTAGGTTGAAATGCCCTACTTCCAGAGCAAAAATGGCACATCATCTTAATTGCTGTTGGTTTTATAGGCTTCATGGTGGTAGTGGTACATTCTGAGATTTTGCACCTGCTCGGCTTAGACCTTTATCCATGCTCCCAGCACTTCAACCCGGCACTCGCAGCTATCTATGGGGGGCGGCACTCCCAAAGACCACAGATCCCTGACCTCCCATACCCCGACCTCGGGACCGTTGAAAGGTAGCATACTACCCTGGTTCGAATTGCATGGGCCTGTTGATCCCTTGAAGTCAGTATTCATTTTCAGGTGGTATAAGATTTTGTTGTTGTCATTTTTTTGTTGTCATGTCTATTCTCTGATGATGTCATCATACAGCAGATTTCAGATCATTGGGTGATTGCTGCAAGCATTGGGCTAACATGTTCCAGAAAAAAATTAGGGTGAAGGATGCAGAGCAAAATCAGCAAAGGCAAAGAACCTGAAGAATCCATTACTTTTCTTAACCCAACCTGATCTGACCTGAGCAAACCAAACTTACCCTCTAACAAGTAATGAATTGTCCATGAAAAGTTAGGAAATGTAACAAGAGCAAGCACCTGCATGGACCCTTAACCACTGACAGCACCAAATAAGCAATGATACTTGGAAAAGCAAAAGCAAAAATCTGGCCTCAATGGACCAGAATCATGCTCCCAAGAGTATACAATCCACACTGCTGTTGTGAGACTGCATTATTGTATTTTGAATGTAAAATGCTGGGCTGGAAATGGCCACCAAAAGGTGTGTTTGTGTGTAGGGATGGGAGGGGGGCAATGATCCGGCAACGCTGGACCATAGGGCCCAGTTAAGCACCTCAACATAAAAAGGCCTACCCCATCCTTACATAGAACACCTGGGTTTTGGGGCTTCATTTTGACAGGCTTTTTGCACTATTTTTTGTCCAACACAAACAGAGCCTGTGAAAAACCTGGCACATGGGCCAGATGTTACAACTAGCTAACTTTGACAGAACATTCAGCATTTTGACAACCTATAGATGCACAGGATGTGTCTTAAGCTTTAGAATCTGTTGTCATTTGAGTACTGAAAAGACACAGTGTTCACAATAATTCAACTGCATCAATCCACATCAATTCCCAGCTGGCTTTATCAACATTCCACACAATCAACATGTTGCTGATAAGTAATGTGTATTTGTTGAAGGCATACCATACATCATCATTAGCATAATGTATTTGTTTATTTCTTCACTTAGTTTTGTCATAAGTGCTAGTGTTTCTCTCAGTTTGCCAGCATTCCTTTGTCATGTTCAAACACAAGCATAAAGGTAGAGGCAGGCATCAATATCAATAGGCATCAATATATCACATTTTAATGGAAGTCAGTAGACTGAAGAATACCAAAACGCTGTTCTCTCAGAACGCTCCCCCCCCCCCCCTCCCCATCACATCAATACCAATACAAGCCACCGGCACACACCACCAGTGATCACAGCGCATTTCGGGCCCCCGATTCACTCTTTTGTCAAATAAGTGTGATCTCACATTTGCACAGCTCGTGGGACTATCAAATTGTAGTTTTCCTCACAATTTCAGCACAGACCTCCATTCACAGCTACTGAACCCCACCGCGACCTCCCTTCAAAACAAAGTACCAGTGGGGGTTCATAGTAATGCGGCTCAACAGGTTCTTATTGCAAAACAATTTTTTCAAGATCCAAATTTGTGGTACTATGTCCGTAAAATATTTAGAAAAAATGCATCTAAAATTAATGTAGTGTTCTCTCTAATTTGATAATGCCTTGCTAACCCATAAACCCGTGCAAGGTTCTGTGCTCCGGTAGAGATACGTTAGTAGAGGAAAAAAGCGCCAACGGGAGAAAAAAAGACAGATGTGCCGTCGCGTCTTCTTTTTTACAACTTCGGGCGAGTGCTCATTTTGGGGCAGAGCCATCATAAAGTCCAGGATCGCAGCGTCCAGTGTTCATATCGCCCAGGATCGCAGCGTCCAGTGTTCATATCGCCCAGGATCGCAGCGTCCAGTGTTCATAAAGTCCAGAAAACGTCCAATTCTATACACATTGGGGGCGTTCATAAGGTCCAGGGACGCAGCCCAGAGTCGCGAAGTCCAGAGTCGTTAAGTCCAGTGTTCAAAACGCCCAGTATCTACGGCAACCAGGCTAGTTTGGATTCCTGCCGCTAGATAACACAGTGAGATGTTCTCGTTGTTCGGACGGGGAAGGTTTCGCGAGCATCGGCACCTTTCGGCGCCAGCCTGTGGACAGAGCACAACTTGTTGCGAGAGACTTGGTCTTTTGGGACGGGATCAGCGTGAGGTCAAGCTAGGAGCAAGCAATTATGGAAGGAAGCAAGCTTCGTTTTTTTCTTGTTTTGCCCGCTTTGGCTTCAGTTCGTAGCAAAATGAGGAATATCGTTTCACGAAAAATCGCTGTCGATACCCAACGTAGCAATAGCATGACCTTTAACCCTCGCCATGATAGGCGGTGATTATGGCACGCGTTTTGATACCAAAACGTGTTCCTAGATTTTCTGGTTTCGGAGCAGCGGCAGTTTGTGATGAGCACTCCACGGCGATCTAAGGCTAGCTCAGGCGGCGGGCGGCAAGAGAATTGCACTACAGAATGTACTCGGAATTGAACAAGACACACGTCAATTTAAGATTCGTGTCGCTGCACTGCTTGTTCTCGTCGAACATAAAATAAAGCTACAAAGGTGCGGTTTTCTGTAAAATTCGGTTTTTGTCCTGTCAACAACATAAAAACTAGTGCCGATCGTGAGATCGTAGTTCAGAACAATGTACTGCTGTTCTTGGCAAGCTCTATCTTTATAAGCTTGGAAACG